CGCCCTGCTATCAGACCCTCCTGCGAATGCTTAGGGCTTAAAAATCTGCAGGGACCACCACATTCCTATCTCCGCCTACATTATTCCAGTTAAATTTTGTGAGTAGTTGAGAAAATGGTCCAGTGTTTCCTTTGGTTAAAAGTAATAGATATTGCAAAATTAAGTAGTTACTTTGGAACTTCTCTGTAGCCGTTTGCATGTGAATATTGAATGAGGGAGTGGTAGCTTTTGTAATTGTTAGGGCAAAGAAAGATTGTTTCTATTCTGGGACAACCAGCTGACTCATCAAGTGCCTTGACCCTTTAGATTTCTTTCTTTTTCCCTTAAGGAAAATGGAAAACTGAGCTCCCAGGTTTGCAGATAGCCCAGACCTGGCACTGTGGAACAAAAGAAAATGGTAGAAAATATGAAAATCAAGGAAATTTTAGCAACTTTTTTTTTTTTTGGTACATTTTTGGAGTGGCTGGTACTGGTTAGCAACTCATTTTTATTTCCTCTGACCATTTAAATGAGTATGAATTTACCTTCCACAAAGGAAAACTTTTCAAATAATGGATTTTTTAAAAGATCCATTTTAGGTGCGTGATTCCCTTCTACCCCTAGATGGCAGTAGAAAGCAGAAGAACCTGCATGAAAGTAAAGCAAATGTCCTGCAACTGTGGGGCGGAGTTCCTGAGTCCTAGGATTGTTGCTTACCTGTGCCCTACAGTTCCATTTGTTAGGCATTCCGGTGACTTTTCTTTTTTCAGACCGACTTAGTTACCCATATATGGATTTTTTTTTAATACTGACTTGGCTAGATTTATAGAGCACTGTGTAGTCAGCTTTAACAGTTAAGAAATAAGCAAATTTTGATGTGGAGAGAAAGAAGGAACAAAGACATTAGAATTGGGGCTTAGAGGTTGAGAAAATGGTCCTCCCTCGTATCCAGTGGGTAGTCTGCTGTTAAGAACTGATGCCTGTGGAGTTGCCCCAGGTGAAAAGGCAAAAAAAGAGATCCAAGATGGCTGATTGCTAACAGTTCGGGATTGTAGCTCCCAGTGAAAGCGCAGAGAACGAGAGGACGCCACTCTTTCAGACGAATTTTCGTCACTCATGGACCAGAAGATTCCCAGTGGAGGGGCCCCACGGGTCGACAGTGCGACTCTTGTGGCCTGCGCAGCGGTTTTGCCGGCGCCTGCGCAGCAGCTCTTCGTGCAGAGTAAACGGGAGGAGATTCCCAGGCAGAAGAGCACCATCAGTCTTAATGCCACTGTTTTGGCCAGCACAGTGGGTTGCTCGGATTCCAGCGCTGGGAATCAATAAACTCGGCGTCCACTCAGAAGCCCAACTAGAAAGGTGGTAATTGTAAAGACGACAGATGGATAAATTTATAACAAAGGGAAGAAACCAGCCTAAAGAGGCTGAGAATACCCAAAATCAGAACCTCTCTCCCTCTACAGGGGATTACAGTTCCTCATCAGCAACAGAACAAGCCCTGATGGAAAAGGACTGTGTGCCATTAACAGAAGTAGACTTCAGAAGGTGGATGATAAGAAACTTCTGGGAGTTAAAAGAACTTGTTCTAACCCAATGTAAAGAAACTAAGAACTTTGAAAAAAGGTTTAACGAAATGCTAACAAGAATAGACAATATAGAGAGGAATATAAATGAACTAACGGAGTTGAAAAACACAACACAAAAACCTAGCGAAATATGCACAAGTCTGAATAGCCGAATTGATCAAGCAGAAGAAAGGATATCAGAAGTCAAAGACCTACTTAATGAAATAAAACAAGAAGACAAGATTAGAGAAAAAAGGATAAAAAGGAATGAGCAAAGTCTCCAAGAAATATGGGACTATGTGAAAAGACCTAATTTACATTTGATAGGTGTACCTGAATATGACGAAGAGAATGAATCCAAGCTGGAAAATACTCTTCAGGATATTATTCAGGAAAACTTTCCAAATCTAGCAAAGCAGCACAATATTCAACCCCAGGTAATACAGAGAACACCACAAAGATATTCCTCAAGAAGGGCAACCCCAAGGCACATAATCGTTAGATTCACCAGGGTTGAAACGAAGGAGAAAATACTAAGGGCAGCCAGAGAGAAAGGTCAGGTTACCCACAAAGGGAAGCCTATTAGACTTACAGCAGATCTCTCAGCAGAAACCCTTACTCAGCAGAAAGCCAGAAGAGAGTGGGGGCTGATATTCAACATCCTTAAAGAACAGAACTTTCAGCCCAGAATTTCATATCCTGCCAAACTAAGCTTCACAATTGAAGGAAAAATAAAATCTTTTATGAACAAGCAAGTACTCAGAAATTTTCTTACCACCAGGCCGACTTTACAAGAGCTTCTGAAAGAAGCATTACACATAGAAAGAAACAACCAGTGTTAGCCTTTCTAAAAATATACCAAAAAGTAAAGACCATCAACATAAAGAAGAATTTACATCAACGAATGGATAAAATAGCCAGTTAACATCAAATGGCAATAATCCTAAATTTAAGTTGACTAAATCCCCCAATCAAAAGATACAGCCAAAACCTAACGATATGCTACATCCAGACCCATTTCACATCCAAAGATACACAAAGACTTAAACCAAAGGGATGGAGAAAGATTTATCAACCAAATGGAGATCAAAAATAAATAAATAAAAAGTAGGAGTTGCAATTCTCTCATTAGATTTCAAAACAACAAAGAAAATAGTGGTAAAAGGATCAATGCAACAATAAGAGCTAACGATCCTAACACCCAGATACATAAGACCCATAAAGAGATTTAGACTCAACGAGACAGAAAATTAATAAGGATATCCAGGACTTGAACTCAGATCCAGAACAAGTAAACTCAATAAATATTTATAGAGCTCTCCATTTTAAACACAGAAAATATACATTCTCCACCTTAAATACACAAAATATTGATCAGCCATTATTACTCATTTTTAGAATAAAGCTACATTCCTGTTTTCGCTCCCTCTTTAAAAAAAAAAAAAAAAAAAAAAAGGAACTGATGCCTGTGGAGTTGCCCCAGGTGGGACACCCAGACCAGGATACTTTACCTGAGCTCCTAGGGCTGATACGGAAAGCCAGGTGGCCCTTCTCTGCAGTCAGAGAAGCTAGCACAGGGGGTTCCCTGTCTCCTCTGAACTCTGTCTAAAGATAATAATGAGGGCTGTTGGCTGGACGCGGTGGCTCACACCTGTAATCCCAGTACTTTGGGAGGCCAAGATGGGCAGATCATGAGGTCAGGAGATCGAGACCATCCTGGCTTACACAGTGAAACCCTGTCTCCACTACAAATACAAAAAATTAGCCGGGTGTGGTGGCACGTGCCTGTAGTCCCAGCTACTCGGGAGGCTGAGGCAGAAGAATCGCTTGAACCCAGGAGACAGACGTTGCAGTGAGCCGAGATCATGCCACTGTACTCCAGCCTGGGCGACAGAGAGAGACTATGTCTCAAAAAATAGATAATAATGATAATGAGGGCTGTCACTTGGAACATTTTCAAATAACATGCCATAGATGCTTAGGGTTTGGGGGAAGCAGGGATGGTACTAGGGGTGGGGGACAAAGGACAAAAACAGTAATAAAGTAAACACAGGAAAGGAGCAGCGTGTGTTCAGAGGCTGAGCATAGGCACCTCCTCTGGGCAGTGGAGTTGAGTCCTGACTGCAGCACATGCAGCTGGGGAAGTAGTAGAAAGATTCCACCTTCTGTTCCCTCATGATCCCTTCTGGCCTGTTCTCATCATGAATTCGCTGCCCTTGAACTCCCAGAATACTTACTGTACGGTGCTCTCAGCCCATATCCATGTCTCTGTATGTCCCATGTCCTGAAAGCTCACGAGCGGAGAAGCTGCCTTGTTTGTCTTTATGTTCCCCATAGCACTTGTCTGGCACAAGGCAGAATCTTACTAAGTGCAGTGGCATTAATCCATTGAGGAGGAAATGGGAAGCAGAATCACAGTGTCAGAACAGACATGATTCTGTTCAAGTGAATCCTGATAAGAAGTAGTGAGGGGCATGGGACTCAGCATGTAATCCCAGCATTTTGAGAGGCAGAATCCAGTGGATCATCTGAGGCTAGGAGTTTATGACCAGCCTGGCCAACATGGTGAAACCCTTTCCCTACCAAAAATTAGCCGGGCGTGGTGGTACACATCTGTAATCCCAGCTACTTGGGAGGCTGAGGCATGAGAATTGATTGAACCTGGGAGGCGGAGGTTGCATTGAGCCAAGATCATGCCACTGCACTGCAGGCTGGGTGACAGAGCAAGACTCCATCTAAAACAAAAAAGAAGTGGTAAGGTTTGTGAGAGTGGAGAGGGGGAGCAGGGGAGTGAAGTTGATGAGGAGGAAAGTGGGACAACAGCAGAACAGCAGAAGCCTGCAGGGTAAGTGAGAAAGCAGCCTGGCCTGGGGAGAAGAGGTGGGCCCAAGAATGGGCATGGGCCTGGCCTGCACAGCCAGGTGGAGATGTGGTACCTGTGGGCACCACCCACCAAGACCTGAGAGAGACTGTGCTCTTCGGGGCTCCTCCAGTTGACAGCAGCAGAAACCCAAGTTAAACCAACTTAAATACAAAAAGGGATTTATTATGGCCTGCATAAGTAGAAAGCCCTAGGGGATGGGCGGTCTCAGGTACGACTAGATTCAGGGCTCTGATGTTGCCCTAAAAAATGTATGTATACCCTCTGGCCTTTTTTTGTTGGCTCCATTCTTGGGCAAACCTCCAAATGGAGATGACTGTGGGCAGCCTTATGCCTGTGTCCTACAAAGGCTTTTGCACTGATGTGTTACTTTCCCACAGCTGAGCTAGACACTTCTGACTGGCCAGGTACAGGACTGTCAGGGAAAATGCACGTGTGGCCCTAGAAGTGGGAGTGTAAACTGTGCAAGCAGAACCCACTGGCGAGCATTGCAGGGACATCAGCCCTTGGCTTGTTACTGTCATAAGCAGAGCAAATTCATATGTATCTAAGTCATACTTTTCAATGTTTTTTAGCATCTTCATGATACAGTGAAGAGAAATCTTGACAGCACCACTTCCCCTCAGAATGGCGATCAACAGAATGGCTATGGGGACCTCTTTCCTGGGCATAAGAAGACTCGCTGGGAGACCCCTCTGGGAGTTGCCGTCTCTTCCAATGGACTGCCTCCAGCCTCCCCCCTTGGTCAGCCTGACAAGCCTTCTGGAGCAGACGCCCTGCAGTCTACTGGGAAGCACTCTCTAGGGCTAGACTCTCTCAACAAAAAGTGTCTGGCTGACTCAAGCCTCCACTTGAATGGAGGCAGTAACCCCAGTGAGTCATTTCCTCTGAGCCTGAATAAAGAACTGAAGCAGGAGCCTGTCGACGACCTGCCTTGCATGATCACTGGGACTGTTGGCTCCATATCACAAAGCAACCTCATGCCAGACCTCAACCTTAACGAGCAGGAGTGGAAGGAGCTCATCGAGGAGCTGAACAGATCGGTGCCGGATGAAGACATGAAGGACCTGTTTAATGAGGACTTTGAGGAGAAGAAGGACTTAGAGTCTTCTGGTTCTGCCACACATACCCCCTTGGCACAGGACATTAATATTAAGACAGAATTCTCTCCAGCAGCCTTTGAGCAAGAACAGTTAGGCTCTCCCCAAGTGAGGGCCGGGTCTGCAGGGCAGACCTTTCTGGGGCCTTCCTCTGCCCCTGTGAACACAGATTCCCCCAGCCTCGGGGGCTCCCAAACCTTATTCCACACCTCTGGTCAGCCCGGGGCGGACAGTCCCAGTCCAAACCTGATGCCGGCATCAGCCCAGGCCCAGAATGCACAAAGAGCCCTTGCAAGTGTGGTATTGCCCAGTCAGGGTCCAGGAGGGGCCTCAGAGCTGTCCTCTGCCCACCAGCTCCAGCAGATCGCTGCCAAGCAGAAACGTGAGCAGATGCTCCAGAACCCACAGCAGGCCACCCCCGCAGCAGCCCCAGGCCAGATGTCCACGTGGCAGCAGACAGGGCCCTCCCACAGTTCCTTAGATGTCCCTTACCCCATGGAGAAGCCTGCCAGCCCTTCTAGCTACAAGCAAGACTTCACTAACTCCAAACTGCTCATGATGCCTAGTGTGAATAAGAGTTCCCCTCAGCCCGGAGGCCCCTACCTCCAGCCCAGCCATGTGAGCCTGCTGAATCACCAGCCACCGAGTAACTTGAATCAGAACTCCATGAATAACCCAGGGTCCGTGCTGGACTACGGCAATACAAAACCCCTTTCTCATTACAAAGCAGACTGTGGGCAAGGCAACCCGGGGTCTGGCCAGAGCAAGCCAGCCCTGATGGCTTATCTTCCCCAGCAGCTGTCCCATCTGGGTCACGAGCAGAACTCTTTGTTTCTGATGAAGCCAAAGCCAGGAAATGTGACTTTCCGATCACTGGTTCCATCTGGCCAGGTAAGAATGAGCCTTCGCTTTCTGTTCCTCTGCTACACATACCAGTGAGGTTACTGGCTACTTGGATATTAGTCGGGTCCCAGGTAGTTGTGGGAAGAGGGAGGATAGTTGCTGTCATCTTTTGCTTCTCTTGGGAGTGGAAATTTATAAAATAAGTTCCCTAGCATAACTTGATTTTTGTCTACACAAAGGATTGAGGAATCACCTGCATTTACTCCAGTGCCTCTTTCATGCCATAGGATTTAAATTAAGTAATTTGTGCCTGTGCTTTGCAGATAAAGATTACATTTAATGTGCTTCTTAGAAGCTTGGCTTTTTTATTTTTACCACCTTTCAGATCTCCATGTTCAAAATCTCCTACTTTTTGGTAAGTTTATAACATTTTAGGCACATGCTGCTTCCCAGCACAGCTCAGCTCTATGGTTACTTCATCATGGTTCTAAAGCCTAGTAGCATCAAATGGCTCCATGGGGTAGAAAATGGCCCTTTGGGTTGTCTCCTGTTTTCCAGTACTGCAGGTAAGCCTGCAGTGAGAACACCGTTGTGTATTTGTAGTACCTGCTAAATTTTTACAAATTAAAAAGCCCGGTGCTGGTAATATCATGAGGAAATAGACACATTCCTGTATTGATGAGTGTGTGTAAATGAGCTCAGTGATTTTGGGAAGTCGTTTGACATTAGTATTTTTCACAAGCTGTGAAGTGTTCCTATGCATTGACACACTATACACCCTACAAATTGATTTAAAGAAATAATCCAAAATAAAAGAAAAAGTTATATCCAAGATATTCATTGCATGGTTATTTCTTTTTATTTTTTATTTTTTCCTTAACATGTGTGCCATTGCAGCGTGGTTATTTCTAATAGCCAAAGCAGTTTAGGCATCTTCCAGTATTGATAATTCCACTTATTTCAGCCAATAAGATGTCTCACACCATTAAACACTGCCTGAAGAAAGACTCAGCTGCACAGTGAGGGTACTTATCATTTGGGTAGTACTTTGCACTTTACGAAGCACTCTCAGTAACTCTTAAGCTTCTGGTGACTAGAGTGAAAAAATTATACTACAGAATCTTAGAATGAATAAGGACGAGAAAGGAGCTCAACAAGTTGAACTGGTTTAAATAATGATTGCTTGCCTTTTCTAAGTTTTCCCCTTTTCTTCAAAATGTCAGTAATGATGAGATAATACTGTGGTAGCCTTTGACATGACTCACTTTTGGTCTTTATATTGGCAGAGAATATCTGTTGAAGTTCTCATGATACTTAGTATTTTTTGAGGATGGCTATTTGACAAAAGCTAAGCAGTCTCTTCCCAGTAAAATGCTTGTACAGATGTACTGTTTCGGGACATTCAAGGATAGCCCCAAATCCAAAGTTTATGCACATGGGACTGAGTGGTCTCCATTGACCAAAGCCCCCTTCAAAGTATTCTTCCCCTGTTGGCCCCCTCTGCACTCAGATGTCCTGATACTCGAGCATTTGTAAGCCTTGATTGCTGACTAGAACTGTTGTGTGCAAATATAAGAGCTTATGTATATGCTTAATGTAAGACCATTCCTTTGTCACTGATGAATCACTGGGAGCAAAACTAACACATGTGTAGTAATTGTTCATTGTTCAGTGCCTGTATGCTCAGATGTCATCACTTTTGGTCTTTGGCCGAACCCTGTGGGATGGTTGTTGTTGGAGGTCAAAAGGGAAGCAGAGACTTGGCTTCAAGAGAGTGAACCTTGAATGAGACTCACTGGTTGGAGCTTATTTGGTCTGATCCAAGCTTAGAGACTTCACAGTCCCTTATCTGTGTTGACAGGAGCAAAACCCTTCCAGTGTCCCTGTGCCAGCCCAGGCTGCCAGTGTTGGGACCCAGCCGCCTGCCGTGTCTGTGGCCACCTCCCACAACAGCTCCCCCTATCTCAGCAGCCAGCAACAGGCTGCTGTAATGAAGCAGCATCAGTTGCTTTTGGACCAGCAGAAACAAAGGGAGCAGCAGCAAAAGCATTTACAGCAACAGCAGTTCCTTCAAAGGCAACAGCACCTTCTGGCAGAACAGGTAAAAAAGAAAGGTAGAAGGAAACCACAGCTCCCCACCTTTGCCTGCACCCTGAGTCACTGCTGCAGTCACACTTTCTGTTTGTGCATGTGGATTTGCACTGACTTGCATGCCTGTTGTTAAGAGCGCTTTGCCTTTTAAAAACCTCTTTCCAGGCCGGGCGCGGTGGCTCAAGCCTGTAATCCCAGCACTTTGGGAGGCCGAGGCAGGTGGATCACGAGGTCAAGAGATCGAGACCATCCTGGTCAACATGGTGAAACACCATCTCTACTAAAAATACAAAAAATTAGCTGAGCATGGTGGCATGTGCCTGTAATCCCAGCTTACTCAGGAGGCTGAGGCAGGAGAATAGCCTGAACCCAGGAGGCGGAGGTTGCAGTGAGCCGAGATCGCGCCATTGTACTCCAGCCTGGGTAACAAGAGCAAAACTCCGTCTCAAAAAAAAAAAAAAAAAAACACCTCTTTCCAGGAATGTGGTATTTCTCAGATAGGGGTAGTCTATGTCAGAAGCTCCTTTGTGTCACTTAGTGGAGACTAATGAAGGCAGACTCTGGGGCTAAAACTATTTGTGGAAGGGACATTTTCCCATGTTTCTGGTCGGCAGCTTCCAAGCCACTGAGCCTACCTGTCTGTCAGTTCACTATGGGGCCAGCTTTGCTGCCACTGCAGAGCCTGTTATAAGCCAGAACGTGAAGAGGGAAGTGAAGTTGTCTCTGAGGGACACACAGTTCACTCTCATGGTTACCAAGTGTAGTGTGCAAGCACTACGAAGGGTTATAAGTGAGAGTTCTCAGGATTTTAAATTACATCTTTTTTTTTTTTTTTTTTGAGACAGAGTCTCACTCTGTCACCCAGGCTGGAGTGCAGTGGTGCAATCCCGGCTCACTGCAACCTCTGCCTCCTGGGTTCATGCAGTTCTCTGGCCTCAGCCTCCCAAGTAGCTGGTGTTACAGGCATGCACCACCATGCCCAGATAATTTTTGTATTTTTAGTAGAGACAGGGTTCCACCATGTTGCCCAAGCTGGTCTTAAACTCCTGACCTCAAGTGATCCACCCATCTCAACCTCCCAAAGTGCTGGGTTACAGATGTGAGCCACCATGCCCAGCCTTAAATTACATTTTTAAATCATAAGAACCGGCTCTAGAGAGTGAAATTCATTGAGGATAATCATTGCCTTAGTTCTGCCTTTAAAAAAAGCAGCTTTATTGAAATGTAATTCCAACAACATATATTTTATTTGCTTAAGTGAACAATTCAGTCTTTTTTTTTGAGACGGAGTTTCGCTCTTGTTACCCAGGCTAGAGTGCAATGGCGCGATCTCGGCTCACCACAACCTCCGCCTCCTGGGTTCAGGCAATTCTCCTGACAGCCTCCTGAGTAGCTGGGATTACAGGCACACGCCACGGTGCCCAGCTAATTTTTTTTGTATTTTTAGTAGAGACGGGGTTTCACCATGTTGACCAGGATGGTCTCGATCTCTTGACCTCATGATCCACCCGCCTCGGCCTCCCAAAATGCTGGGATTACAGGCGTGAGCCACTGTGCCCGGCCCCGAACATTTTCATTCCCCCAAAACAAATCCCATATCTATGAGCAGCCCTTCTCCCATCCACCAAGCCTCTCCAGCTCCTGGCAGCCACTGGTCTGCTTTCCGTCTCTGTAACTTTGTCTATTCTGGACATTTTATATTTATTTATGTTTATATTTATGTTATGTCATATTCAATCATATACTGTGTAACAGCAATTTATTCCTCTTGGTAATTAAATAATATTCCATTGTATGAATATGCTACATTTTATTCATTCATCTGTTAATAAACATTTGGGTTTCTTGTTTGGGCTGTTATGAGTAATGCTGCTGTAAACATTCATGTACAAGTTTTCTTACAGACATCTGTTTTCATTTTTATTGGGTAGATACTTGAGAGTGGAATTGCTGCATCACATGATAATTTTTATGTTTAAGCTTTGGAAGAACTGTCAGACTTTCCCACATGCTATCTCATTTTACATTCCCACCAGTCAGTGTATGAGGGTGCTGATTTCTCTACATCCTTACCAACCACTTGTTATCATCTGACTTTGATTCTCGCCATCCTAGAGGGATCTCACTGTGGCTGTGATTTGCATTTTCAAATGTGATTTGCCCTCCATTTTTTAAAAACTGATATACGTACCTTTTAAAAAAGCCATTGCTCCCTAGATCTGTTTCATAAGTTACTTTTCTCTGACCTTCCTCACTCTCTTTGTTTCCAATTTTGTTTCATGTTCGTTTTGTTGTTTTGTTGTTCTTGGCATTTTCTAGGAGAAGCAACAGTTTCAGCGCCATCTGACCCGCCCACCACCCCAGTACCAAGACCCGACACAAGGCAGCTTCCCACAGCAGGTTGGACAGTTCACAGGTAGGGGGTGTCTTCATGAGGAGCAGGGGCAGGGGAGGCCACTGCCTGGTGCTGGTTGAATCCCTGCTGTCTGTGCAGCTCTGTGCCTTGACTTCATCAAGCTGCTTGCATTGACTTCATCATATACACCTCTGTTTGCCTAAGGGGCCTGGTTTTCTAGTTATTCCACGGCATCAGGAGAAGAGGGCATAAAGGCAAACCACTAGAACTACCTTTGCTGGGTCCCTGGCTGTACGGTTTTCTGAAGCAAAATCATTTCTGGTTGGAGGACATCTTATCAACAGGAAATGGCTTCTGTAATTCTTAAGAAAGTTCTTTGCTTCTGCCTTATGTGTCTTCAAAAAATGACTCTCCTATCTTCCAGATAAGGACTTAGTGCACTTGTGTGGCCTTTTGCTTCTTTCTCTCCTCCTGCCCGCTTACTTGAGAATCACAGAGGGCAGCATCACTAGTAGACAGTTGGCCAGAAAAGGGTAGAAAGCACACTTGAGTCGCTGTCGCCTCAGAGATGTGCCAGGGAACTTCATAGGCCATCCCTCCAGAAATGCACAGAGATTTCAGGGGATAGACACAGTAGGCTCTGGTCTGCCCCACCTCCCTAGCTCCTCTCAGAACATCTTAGAAACCTCTGTTTTTGCTGGGCATGGTGGCTCAAGCCTGTAATCCCAGCACTTTGGGAGGCCGAGGCGGGTGGATCACGAGGTCAAGAGATCGAGACCATCCTGGTCAACATGGTGAAACCCCGTCTCTACTAAAAATACAAAAAATTAGCTGGGCTGGTGGCGCCTGCCTATAATCCCAGCTACTCAGGAGGCTGAGGCAGGAGAACTGCCTGAACCCAGGAGGTGGAGGTTGCGGTGAGCTGAGACATGCCATTGCACTCCAGCCTGGGTAACAAGAGTGAAACTCCATCTCAAAAAAAAAAAATAAAGAAACCTCTGTTTTTCCTGGGGTGGGCGTGGTGGCTCACGCCTTTGGGAGGCTGAAACGGGCAGATCATGAGGTCAGGAGTTCGAGCCCAGCCTGGCCAATATGGTGAAACCCCATCTCTACTAAAAATACAAAAATTAGCTGGGCATGCTGATGCGTGCCTGTAATCCCAGCTACTCGGGGGCTGAGACAAGAGAATCGCTTGAATCAGGGAGTCAGAGGTTGCAGTGAGCCAAGATCACACCACTGTGCTTCCAGCCTGGCAACAGAGTGAGACTGTCTTTAAAAAAAAAAAAAAGAAAGAAAGAAAGAAACCTGTTTTTCCTTATTTGGGACCTTACTATAAAGGGTCCCAGAGAGAGTGACCACAGCTGTGTGTCCTGGAGGAGACTAGGTGAAGTTTATGTGTGTGCTACCTGCAGATGAAATCTGTAGGCATCTCAGAAGCCTGGGCCTGACCCATGTTTCCTGCCTTCAAACCCATCTGACATTTTGCGGATTATTGATGGGAATGAAGTAGACTGTTTCAGCTCTCCTCTTTTCCTCACCCCAATTTTTGTTGTTGGCTGAGACGGAGTCTTGCTCTGTAGCCCAGACTGGAGTGCAGTGGTACAATCTCTACTCATTGCAACCTCCACCTACTAGGTTCACGCGATTCCCCGGCCTCAGCCTCCCGAGTAACTAGGATTACAGATGCCCGTCACTACACCCAGCTAGTTTTTATATTTTTTAGAGACAGGGGTTTGCTGTGTTGGCCATGCTGGTCTCAAACATCTGACCTCATGATCCACCGGCCTCAGCCTCCCAAAGTGCTGGGATTACAGGCGTGAGCCACTGCACCTGGCCCCTGTTTTTACTATGTAGTTACTAGTAGAGAGGAGGAAGAACAAAGTACTGAGTTGTGGCCAGTCCCTGATCAATGATTTTCCTACCCACAAAACCTATTTCAATTAATGGTGTTGCCATGTGTCCACTGCTTAAGCCCGGAGGCCTACACAGCAGTTCCCTGAGCACAAGGGCACTTTGTGTCTCATCCTCTGCTGTCTCTCCAGCACAGCACTTGCCACAGAGTGGGTACTCAGTGAAAATCTGGTAATTTCCTGTGGCAACTCCTCCCTTGGCCATCTTATCATTTCATGGTACAAACAGTGTGCCATAAGATGTTATATTATCTGGTGACATGTCACACAGTCCTGTGCCTCTATCCCCTGTTCCCACATGGTCTGCCCTCCCTCATCTCCATGACTGAAAAGCCTCTCTCCAGCATGGTCTCAGTAGCACTCTCAGTCCAGCCATTGTTAGGCCTTACAACCCCGTTCATCACACACCATCCACAGCTCTTCCCTATCTGGCCAGGACCAGCTCTTTCATTTTATCTCTAAACCACCTGGCCACTGTCTCCATACCCTGGCCATGGCCTGTCTCTAAAAGTTCCCCACATAGATGCCTTTTTCTGACTCTGCCTTTGCACACTCTTGCCTAGAATGCTCTTTTCCCCAAACTGTTAAATTGCTAAACTTCCACGCCTTTAAACCCAGTGGATTCATCACCATCTCTCTGAATCCTTCCCCAAGGCTTCCCAGATGTCAGGGCTTCTGGCCTGTACCCTGCAGCCTGCTTGCTAGGTGTGCCCCATCACGCCCCATCGTGCCCTGTACTAACTTTGCCTCCCAGAGGCAGATCTTGTGTTGGGTCCACCTCAGAGTCCCCAGTGCCTACCACAGGGCCCCCACAGAGCAGAAATATGGTGGGTGCTTGAAAGTTAAATGAAGCAGCCTACTGGCTTTCCCTCCCCTGGGGATTTGCCCCTCCTCTGTGCCTTTCTGAACCCTATCATTGTTGCAGAGACCAGGCCTCCATTCCATGGGAGGCTTTCTGCCCCTGCCGCCCCTGGGGCCCTCTACCCAGCGTGCTGTGACCGTGAGACTTCTGGTGCTGCAACTCGGGTCTCACAGGGACCCAGTGGTGGTCAACTCTTGACTGCCAGACTCTTCTCTGTCTTGTAGGGTCCTCTGCTGCCGTGCCCGGCATGAACAACTTGGGTCCGTCCAACTCCAGCTGTCCTCGAGTGTTCCCTCAGGCTGGAAATCTGATGCCAATGGGCCCTGGACATGCTTCAGTTTCCTCTCTCCCCTCAAACTCGGGCCAACAGGACCGGGGTGTGGCTCAGTTCACTGGCTCCCAAAACATGCCTCAGAGCAGTCTCTATGGCATGGCATCTGGCATAACCCAGATAGTTGCCCAGCCCCCGCCACAGGCCACCAATGGACATGCCCACATTCCACGGCAGACCAGCGTGGGCCAGAACACCTCCGTCTCTGCTGCCTATGGGCAGAACTCTCTGGGAACCTCTGGCCTCTCCCAGCAGCACAATAAGGGGACCTTGAACTCTGGTTTAACCAAGCCACCAGTCCCAAGGGTGTCACCAGCCATGGGAGGCCAAAATTCCTCCTGGCAGCATCAGGGAATGCCGAACCTGAGTGGCCAGACACCAGGGAACAGCAACGTGAGTCCCTTCACTGCAACCTCCAGTTTCCACCTGCAGCAGCCCCACCTGAAAATATCTAGCCCGCAGTTCTCCCAGGCAGTGCCCAATAGGCCCATGGCTCCCATGAGCTCAGCAGCTGCAGTGGGGTCCTTGCTGCCCCCAGTGAGTGCACAGCAGAGGACCAGCGCCCCTGCCCCAGCACCACCCCCAGCAGCTCCTCAGCAGGGCTTGCCTGGCCTGAGCCCAGCAGGGCCTGAGCTAGGGGCCTTTAGCCAGAGCCCCGCCTCACAGATGGGCAGCCGAGCGGGGCTACACTGCACCCAGGCCTACCCTGTGCGGACCGCGGGCCAGGAACTGCCTTTTGCCTACAGCGGGCAGCCAGGTGGCAGTGGGCTCTCTAGTGTCGCTGGACACACTGACCTGATCGACTCCCTGCTGAAGAACAGGACTTCAGAGGAGTGGATGAATGATTTGGACGACCTGTTAGGCTCTCAGTAATGGAGGGATTTGTAGTGTTTTTAGTGTTTATTCATCGTATATTTTTATTCTCAGATTCAAAGACAGAGCAACTACTTTGGACCAAAACCCCATGGCCTGGGGTGCTGGGCAGGTAGAGTCCAAGCTCCAGGTGAGGCCTGGCCCTGGGCAAGGTCTGTGGCTGCACAGCCCTCAGGCCAGCAGTTGCAGTCCATTGGGCTGGCCCCAGCCCATCTGCTGGCATCAGTACCTGGTGTTGGGACAGCAGAATAGGGTTCTAAAGGTGGTTTTCTATCCAAGTGACCAAAAAACCAACAGTAACAACAGTGAAAACTCACAATATCGTACTTTTAAAACTCTGTGCCATCATAGTGATTTTTATCCAAGATTTCTCCACTTACCCCAGTGCTGGGGACAAGTCTTTGTTGAAACTTTATATAGCAGAATTATTTGCAATTTGTAGCATAGAAAAGATTTTTAAAATTTTTTACAGGTTTTTAAACAGATTAGGATAGGTGATGGTTTAAATCAATTAAGTGGCATTGGAAACCTAGGGTTTCCCTTTGATTAAGAGCCTTTTTTGTTTCTGCTCTTTGTCAGCTTTCAGGGGAGAAGGAGGCCACTGGAAAATTATTTCCCTGAGTGCAGGCTGTTGACTGTGTATGCCAAAAAGGGACAGAAGACATGTGATAGCAGGTCTGGTGACACAACTAGGATCTTCCTAGCAGCTCCTCCTCCCTCCCAAGGACCCCAGGACTCCCTTCCTCACATGTCCTGGCAGCAGGACCCCAGGCTACATGTGGGGGGTGGAGAGGCAGTGTCCTGGAGTGTTCTGCTTCCCGCCTTCTGCAGTCTCTCTGAACATGTATGCTGCCCGTGGTGGGAGCCTGGTCACTGTGTAGTTGTGCACAAATGTCTTTCCTTTAACCGTGCCTCTCCTTCCTCTCTGCACCCTAAATGGAAAACAATTATTTGCTACATTGGAGGGGGAAAGCAAGAGTCTTAGAATTCCTAAGGGAACCCTAGCATAAAGGTTTTGAGAAAGGAGGCCGCAGGCCGGCCCACAGGAAGCAACTCCACTTTGTTTGACAGCTTCTGCCACTCCCATGTCAGATGACTTGCACTTTTTAAAGAGATTGCTTTATAACACTAAGACATCCTTTCTAAAGATTCAAGTGAACTTGACTAAGCTGAGGGTCTGCAAAATAGAATATGACATGTGAGCTGTTGTTGGAAAACAAAGATGGAGGAAACACTTCCCCATAATGAAAGCGAAGTGGTAAGCATAGGGTGAGACCCTTTTACACAGAATGGTGGAAAGAAAAGAGAATGCTGGGCCGGGTGCGGTGGCTCACGCCTATAATCCCAGCACTTTGGGAGGCCAAGGTGGGTAGATCTCGGGGTCAAGAGATCGAGACCATCCTGGTCAACATGGTGAAACCCCGTCTCTACTAAAAATTAGCTGGGCATGTTGGCATGTGCCTGTAATCCAAGCTACTCAGGAGGCTGAGGCGGGAGAATTGCCTGAACTCAGGAGGCGGAGGTTGCGGTGAGCCGAGATTGTACCATTGCGCTCCAGCCTGGGTAACCAGAGCAAAACTCAGTCTCAAAAAAAAAAAAAGAAAGAAAGAAAAGAGAATGCTGGAAATTGGCTTAGATGCCGAGTGTTCTATGGAGAAACTGCAACCCCATTTTTATTTCCCTGGAGTCTCTAAATGGATCATTCAGGAGTATGTATTCTATGTGAAGAACTGAGCCAAGGAAAACATTCACGCAACCAGCCTGAGTCACGTTGAGGGGACAAGAGGTTGTACACATATTGGTAGTTATTTTGCACCAGCAGTGCCTTTTTCACTGGGGGTACTTGGACCCTCAGATCTTCTCTAAGAGCCATTTGCCACCCCAGGTGGTATGTGGGCCATTTCTCCTTAAAACACCTTCCCTACCTTTCCCATGTATTCAGTTTAGCTCTCAAAGAAGTGGCGAATCATAAAGCCAGTGAAGATTACACTCTCTGTGTGAGTTCCCCAGTCTGAAGGGGAAGAGGGTTACGTCAGTGGCTTTTCTCCCAAAAATCGGCTGAAGGCTGGTTATGGATCCTTGTTCCTCTCCTGACCCCCTCTGGCTGCTGTCACATCTCCCACCCCTGTCCCCCAAGGCTTGCCAGCCCTGCACTCTGCCTTAGTCCTGGGGCCAGCGACACAGTGGGCTCCTCACTTGCTGCAGTGTCATAGCAATAAAATGTGATTCTTGGGGTCACCCCAGGGAGCTGCCCATGGCTTTATTTATGAATCTGGTTTTTGGGAGTCAGGGGAGGAGATGACTTTGCTTCTGTGCACAGCCCTGTCTTCCAGGAGCCACAACTCAGAAGAAAAGGGTGCTCAGACTTTTGTTATACACATTTGCTTTGTGTAAATAAATGTTTACAATTTTATATGAAAGATGGAATAAGCGCTAGAGCTTCCAACTGTATATTTTTTACTTTTATAGATTTTTAAACTATGATCCTTTATATATGTGTTTGGGGGAGCAATGATAAGTTTTATGGAAAACGGTTGGTATTGTTAACTTTTTATTGTCATCGAAAGTGCATAAAAGTCCTATTAATCCCCATATTCTTCTACTGCCCTTAACTCTGGTATACACCAAAAAGAAATCTTTACTTTCTTTGTTTTATCATTATAAAAATAAAGTATTTTGCTAGAATGGAAACAGCCTTTGTTTTTGACATAACCTGGGATCTGCTGGCAGAAGTTTGGAGTTGGTTTTCTTTTGTAATTTAGCTGCTTGCTTCTTTTTTCCCCCACAAGGAACATCATATGCTTTGCTTTTCTTGTTTTGTTTTTAAAGAAATGCTTACTGAGTCATAGATTTAGCCGCTCTCTTATTGGAGACTGTTGGGTGGGAGTAGCCTCAGAGGAGCTTCTATTATCTGGTGATAGATAATCAATTACAGCAAGCATCACCCCAAGAATGCAGCCTGTCCCCTGGGACTCACAGGCATCTCTGCAGCTGATGGAGGGGAGCTGGACCGGATGACTGTGCTGTCTTAGCTGCGGGGTGCTTCTCGTGCTTCATGTAGAACCCATAGATTTGCCCCCGAAGTCTGTCTGCTCCATGTCCTATTTGGTTTCTCTTCGGCATAGAGCTTGGTTTTCCCTTTTTTATTGTAAGAATGGTGTCCTCTGCCATGTCACACTGTGAAAGGGGACCAGATGACGGAGCCTGGACCAAAAGGGTGAGTGAACCCTCTCACCTGAGAACTCTTCCTGCTCTACTTTGCTGGGAGCAGGGAGCAGGGCAGCCTGGGAGAAGCCAGAGTTCCTCAAAGGGCAGAGAAGAACAGCCTTCAGGGGTCCACAGCAAGGAAACATACCACGATGGACTCAAAAAGCTAGATTGCAATAATAAAAAGGGGAAGATATCTGTGACACACAGGAAACAGTGTTTGCAGCCATGCCATAGAAAGCACAGTAAGGGAGGAAAACCCCAGAGACTCTGTGAAGTCTTGCTAAGAATGCACATTATGTCCCGTGATCCAAGAACTTAACCGAGAACAGAAGTGAGTGGCTCAGCCTGTGAGATGCACGGCACTTAGCAGTGCTCAGTGCTGACTTCAGTATGAGTGGCTGGCTGCTGTATGAGTTTTTTGTGGGAAGAAATTTGGCAGAAGTTATCAAGCTCCTTAAAATGTTCATGCTGTGGGCTGGGCATAGTGGCTCATGCCTGTAATCCCAGCACTTTGGGAGGCTGAGGCAGGCGGATCACAAGGTCAGGAGTTCAAAACCAGCCTGGCCAATGTGGTGAAACCCCATCTCTACTAAAAATACAAAAAGTAGCTGGATGTGGTGGTATGCACCTGTGGTCCCAACTACTCAGGAAGCTGAGGCAGAAGAATTGCTTAAACCCAGAAGGCGGAGGTTGCAGTTAGTCAAGATTATACGATTGTACTCCAGCCTGGGTGACAGAGCGAGACTCCATCTCAAAACAAAACAAAATGTTCATGCTGTGTCTGCCTCGGTAGTTGCAATTCTGAGAAGCCATCCTCGAAAATGACTCTGGGTACAGAAAAAGTACAGCAGTGGTTTTTACAGTCACAGAAAACTGCTGCTTACAATATAGATTAGGAGACGCTAAACTGCTGCCATAGGGGATTGGTTACATAAACTGGTATTTCCAATCCATGAGATAGGATGCAGCCATTTAAAATATTTATGAAGGTTTCAGACATAGTCATTTGGAATAATGGTTTTGTTGGGGCTCTTAACTTTCAAGCTAATAGAAATCTGGCTAATATAACCCTATGAATTACCTCCCCACAGACCATTTTTAAGGTTCCCAGTAACTTTCAGAATCAAAGGAGATACTGGACAGCCAGGCCACAGTAGTGGCAAGGGCCCGGCAGTTTCAGGTCCCTGCAGCCTGCCACCACCCCAGGTCTGAGTCACCAGCCAGGCTTGCAGGACTAGGTAAGGGACTGTTCACTCAGCAAATGTTTAGGGAGTACCTGCTGCACCCAGGCATTGCCCCAGAGGCAGGAGATATGACAGAAATTGTGGCAGTTACAGGAAGGCAAGGTCCCTGCACTGAAGAGCTCATGGTCTCATGGGAAGGAGCCATCATACAGGTCAACCAGATGACCTCAAAGAGGTAAGTGTTAGGGAGAAACTAAAGCTGGATAATGAGATAAAGGGCAGTGGGGCTGCAAAGGATGGGGTGGGCCACAGACTACTGTAGACATGGTAGCAGCGTAGGTCTCTAAGAAAGTGATACATAACAGAGGCCTAATCACAGCATGTTGGGAGGCCAACATGGGAGGATCACTGAGACCAGCCTGGGCAACATAAACCATGTCTCTGTAAAAAAAAAATATATATATATATAGAGTTAGGCATGGTAGCACACACCTGTGGTCCCAGCTACTCAGGAGGCTGAGGTGGGAGAATCACTTCAACCCAGGAGTTTGAGGCTGTAGTGAGCCATGATCATGCCACTGTGCTCCAGCCTGGGCAGCAGAAACCCTGCCTCAAAAAAAAAACAGTGCTGTTAACAGAGGGAGGAGTGCTGAGGAGTAAGTCAGATGCCTGCACACGTGTTAAATTTAAAATCAGGCCAGGCGCATGGCTCACACCTGTAATCCCAGCACTTTGGGAGGCCGAGGCTGGTGGATCACCTGAGGTCAAGAGTTTGAGACCAGCCTGGCCAACATGGCAAAACTCCATCTCTACTAAAAGTACAAAAGGACTGGGCATGATGGCTCACGCCTATAATTCCAGCACTTTGGGAGGCTGAGGCAGGTGGATCATAAGGTCAAGAGATCGAGACCATCCTGGTCAACATGGTGAAACCCCGTCTCTACTAAAAATACAAAAATTAGCTGGGCATGGTGGCGTGCGCCTGTAGTCCCAGCTACTCGGGAGGCTGAGGCAGGAGAATTGCTTGAACCCAGAAGGCGGAGTTTACAGTGAGCCGAGATCGTGCCATTGCACTCCAGTCTGGGTGACAACAGCGAAACTCCTTCTCAAAAAATAAATAAATAAATAAATATAAAAGTAAGCTGCGTGTGGTGGCATGCACCTGTAGTCCCAGCTACTTGGGAGGCTGAGGCAGGAGAAACACTTGAACCTGAGAGGTAGAAGTTACAATGAGCCAAGATCGTGCCACTGCACTCCAGCCTGGGCGACAAAGCTAGACTTTGTCAAAAAAAGACCCACAAATTTAAAAGCAAGCAATATGCCACTGCATTGAGTAAGAGAGTGGCTCTTTCCGTCGTCCAGGTGCCTGTGAGCTGCAGGGAGGCTGCAGTGCAACCCTGCACTATTGTGAAACCTCTGCCAGCCTGGGCAAAGCTTGCCCACCTGCCCAGCCCAACCAACCCCAGAAGATGCCCAAGATAAGTTGAGTACAAGCTCCAGGGTGTCTTGTTTGCCCCTGGAGTTGGATGCTGCCTGCAGACCAGACAGCTGATGTCTAGAGCTGGCAATGTGGCTCTAAATCTGTTGAAAGATGCAAGATGGTAGCTACCTGCACACTTGGTCCAAAGCTAGTGGCTGAACTTAAGTGTTCCAGGCACTGCCCTGGCCAGCACAAGAGATGGTGAGTAGGGACAAATTTTCTTTACTGGGCCTTTCCCCCTTTTGCCTTCAAGCAGTTGATGTCCTGGCCACTCTTCAGATTGGCTTTACTTAGGCTTCAGGGTTAATTTGCTCTTTGCATGGCTGCAGTAAGCTGAGCTGCAGAATTTAGCTAGTGCATGAAAACCATTTCATGGAAGTTGGGAAAGATAACTTCAGACTCCCACCCAAAGCAGAAACCAGCATCACAAGGGCAGAATCCAAGGATGCATCACCCTATCAATCTTCTGGGAAGTGTAACCTACATTATGAAGAACTAGGTGCTGTCTGCTGCAAAAACAAATAAATGCAGTAGCTTGCCTGCTTGGGACAGGGCTGCAGAACTGACTAAATCCAAGGATTTCCACACTTTAAGCAACCTTGAGCAAGCGCTGACCACATGGGCTGTGATGAGAAGCCGCAGGCCATGTTAGATTGCTATGTGGGGTCAATACAGAGGCCTCCACTTTTCCTTGTGCCTGGAAAGCAGAACTTTACAAGACTGAAGAAGAAAAACTGGAATTTTGCATCCTTACTAAGTTAAGATGTAACTACGTTTTATGTAGCAGAGAGAAATGCTTGCTGACTATTGGATTTATTACTACTGATACCATTTCTCATCACGAATGTTAAAGTTCTAGGCTGGTTCTATACTCATAACAGTAGATTAGTTTGTATAATGCAAGACGAGTCCAACCACATGCAGAATCTTCAAGAGCTATAGATACTGCCATCCAACCTACTTATGTTATATTATACCTAGAGCTAGAGGCCTAAGGACATCCTAGTCCCCAAGTAGTAAAAAATGTAAGTCTTGGCAGGGTGTGGTGACTCATGCCTATAGTCCCAGCACTTTGAAAGGCCAAGGCAGGAGTATTGCTTGAGCCCAGTATTTTGAGACTAGCAGGGCAACATGGCGAGACCCCATCTCTACAAAAAATTAGACAAGCGTGGTGATGCATGCCTGTAGTCCCAGCTACTAGGGAGGCTGAGGTGGGAGGCTAGCTTGAGACTGGGAGGGCGAGGCTGCAGCAAACCATGATGGTACCACTACACATCAACCCCGGTGACAGAGTGAGACACTGTCTAAAAAATGAAAAAAATTAAATCTTGCTTGGCATGGTGTCATTTGCTTGTTATTTCCAGCTATGCAAGAGACTGAAGAGGGATGATTGCTTGAGGCCAGGAGTTTGAGGCTGCAGTGAACTATGATTTTACCTGTGAACAGCCACTGTACTCTAGCCTGGGCAACATAGCAACACTGTCCTTTTTTTTTTGAGATGGTCTCACTATGAATTGCTCAGGCTGGAATGCAGTGGTGTGATCATGGCTCACTGCAGCCTGGACCTCCTGGGCTGAAGCACTCCTCCCACCTCAGCCTCCCCAGTAGCTAGGGCTACAGGCATGTACCACCACACCAAGCTTTTTTTTTGTTTTTGTTTTTGTTTTTTTTTGTAGAGACCAGGTCTTACTATGTTGCCCAGGCTGGTCTCAAACTCCTGGTCTTTCATGAGCCTCCCGCCTCAGTCTCCCAAAGTGTTGGGAATATAGGCGTCAGCCAGCCAACTCTGTCCCTTAAATTTTTTTTTTTTTGAGACGGAGTTTCGCTCTTGTTACCCAGACTGGAGTGCAATGGCGCGATCTCGGCTCACCGCAACCTCCGCCTCCTGGATTCAGGCAATTCTCCTGCCTCAGCCTCCTGAGTAGCTGGGATTACAGGCACGTGCCACCGTGCCCAGCTAATTTTTTAAATTTTTAATAGAGACGGGGTTTCACCACGTTGACCAGGATGGTCTCGATCTCTTGACCTCGTGATCCACCCGCCTCAGCCTCCCAAAGTGCTGGGATTACAGGTGTGAGCCAGTGCGCCCGACCCTAAAAAATTAAAAAGATAAATCTGTGGCTTCTTTTTTATTCTTGCTTGTGCAGTAACGGACTTTCCTTAAACTTTGCAACTGTCTGTCATTTCTTGCATTTAACTTACTCTATCCAATTGATTCTGGATTCTCCTCCCAGGGTTCACTTCTTAGTAACCCTATGGTATTACAGGAACATTAGAGCAGGAGAACAAGGTGAGTCTAAGCCCGTCTGCCACTGCTAACCAGGTAGGGGACCTCTCTGCCTATCCCAAAGCAGGGAGATTGGACCAGACTGAGTGGACAGTCACAGAAGCTGTGATACACCCCAGATACCTTTCAGGACTGTAGATCCATTTCCAGGAGCACTGGACACTCATTGTTAGGAGCTGCTGCCAGCTCACAGCTGACTTTCTGGGAACTGTGTTCAGTGGAAGGGAGCTGCCCAAAGTTATGTCTTCCTCCAGCGGCAGCCCATGTCTGGAGACTTGTCAATATGGGAGTATGGAGACCCCAACTCCCTTGCCTCAATTTGGGACATCTCCAAAAAGCCATTCCAGCCCCATCGCACCCTTGCTGTTGGCTGAGGCCTCTGCTGCATCTGCATCTCAGTTCCGTCTCTCGCCTGCCCAGTCCAACAGCCCTTGCCCCCTTATAGGTGGTGCTGATGCCCTTCAAAGTTTGCTTTGGGGCACCTGGCTCGAAAGAGTTGGTGCAGGGAGTGGTCTCAGGAAACTGACTCTAAGCTGGCTGGCTGCTGGCCGTGATGACCAGTGGCAAGTGGGACGACTGTAAAGGGGAACTGTTAAACGTGCACCATGGCAACACCAGGGCAGGGCACTGGGGAAGGGAAGAGTACCCTAGGCCTTTGGGAAGTGTAAGTGGAGGAGTGACTGTGACCTTGAAAGAGATGTTGCTGGGGCTTTAGGTGATACCTTGGAGAAAGGCAATAAAAAGCTGACCATGATTAATCACTAGAAAAGGCACAATGTGAGATCCATTAGAGGCCTCCTTGGCAGCCAGGCAAAAGGGTGGCCAAAGCTGAGGGGATCAGGCACAGGATTGTTATTAAGGCATCAGAGCTCCAAAAGGGTTGAACTTTCAACCTTGCCAAGTGTGCCATACTAAGGTCATTGTCCTAGTTAGGAATGTGGGACCCTGACATGGGGATGCAGACATCTGGATCGATACTCTAGAAAATCTGGGCCAGGTGCAGTGGCTTACATCCATAGTCCCAGCACTTTGGGAGGCTGAGGTGGGTAGATCATGAGGTCAGGAGTTCGAGACCAGCCCGACCAATATGGTGAAACCCCATCTCTACTAAAAACACACAAAAAAAATCCAGGCATGGTGGTGGGTGCCTGTAATCCCAGCTACTCAGGAGGCTGAGGCAGGAGAATTGCTTGAATCCGGGAGGCAAAGGTTGCAGTGAGCCAAGATTGTGCCACTGCACTCCAGCCTGGGCAACAGAGTGAGACTCCGTCTCAAAAAAAAAAAAAATCTGGACACCCCAGCCCCACCCCGCAAAACCTCTAAACCCGCCTCTTCCTCTTAAGGGCTGGTACTTTGCTCTCTTTTGAAGGTCATGCACAGGCCTCTACCACCTCCCCTGGGGATCTGTGCTCATCTCCCCTCCTGGCCCCTGGACCAAGAAGGTCAGCAGGAGTGTGCTGGGCCTGCCAGAGAAAAAGTGGATTAGCTTGGACAGAGAGGAGGGTGCCTGAGACTTGAAGGCATAGCCATATGGGGCTCTGCAATCACTCAGGGCTCAGGACCCTGGCAGAGCCCCCAGGAGGCGGTGCCCGTACTCTGCCAGCTCAGCTCTCTGAAGCTTCCCAGGAAGCCATGGCCCACAAGGAAGAGAGTAGCAACTCAGGAGCAACCATGGCAGCTCTGCAGGAAGGGACCAAATGCTCAGAAGCGGGTGTGGGAGACGGGAAATGCAGCTGACCCCTGAACAACACAGGTCTCAACTGCCTGGGGCCACTTAGGGGGGTTTTTTTAAATAAGTATATTGGAATTTTTTTTTTTTAATTTACGACAATTTGAAAAAACTCACAATTGAACCGTGTTGCTTTAGAAATATTGAACACTAATTTCTTTAGAAATTAAGAAAAAGCTAGGTCGGGCATGGTGGCTCATGCTTGTAATCCCAGCACTTTGGGAGGCCAAGGCAGGTGGATCATCGGAGGTCAGGAGTTTGCAAACAGTCTGGCCAATATGGTGCAACCACGTCTCTAATAAAAATACAAAAATTAGCTGGGCATGGTGGCAGGAGCCTGTAATCCCAGTTACTCAGAAGGCTGAGGCAGGAGAATTGCTTGAACCCAGGAGGCTGAGGTTGTAGTGAGCCGAGATCACGCCATTGCACTCCAGCCTGGGTGACAAGAGTTAGACTAGACTCTGTCTCAAAAAAAAAAAAAATGAAAAAGCAAGCCAGGCATGGTGCCTCACACCTGTAATCCCAGCACTTTGGGAGGCCGAGGTAGGTGGATCACAAGGTCAAGAGATTGAGACCATCCTGGCCACCATTGTGAAACTTGGTCTCTACTAAAAATACAAAAAAATTAGCCAGGCATGGTGGCTTGCACCTGTGGTCCCAGCTACTTGGGAGGCTGAGGCAGAAGAATCACTTGAACCCAGGAGGCAGAGGTTGCAGAGAGCCGAGATTGTGCCATTGCACTCCAGCCTGGTGACAGAGCAAGACTCTGTCTTAAAAAAAAAGAAGAAAAGAAAAAGCTAGGTATGTCATAGACACATAAAATATATGCAGGTACTAGTCTGTTATCATTTACTACCATAACATACACACATCAATTATAGAAAGTTAGAATTTAGTCTAGGTGCAGTGGCTCACACGTGTAATCTCAGCACTTTGGGAGGCTGAGGTGGGAGGATCACTTGAGCCCAGGAGTTCCAGACCAGCCTGGGAAACACAGTGAGACCCTTGTATCTACAAAAAGTTTTAAAATTGGCCAGGTGTGGTGGCTCACACCTGTAATCCCAGCACTTTGGGAGGCGGAGGCGTGTGGATCACGAGGCCAGGAGTTTGAGACCCGTCTGGCTAATATGGTGAAACCCCATCTCTACTAAAAACACAAAAATTAGCCAGGCATAGTGGTGCGTGCCTGTAGTCCCAGCTACTTGGGAGGCTGAGGCAGAGAACTGCTTGAACCCGAGAGGCAGAGGTTTCAGTGAGCCAAGATCACACCACTGCACTCCAGCCTGGGCAACAAAGCGAGACTCTGTCTCAAAAAAAAAAAAAAATTAGCTGGGCATGGTGGCGTGCACCTCTAGTCCTACCTACTCAGGAGGCTGAGGCAGGAGAATTGCTTGAACCCAGGAGGCAGAGGTTGCAGTGAGCTGAGATTGCGCCACTGTACTCCGCCTGGGTGACACAGCACGACTCTGTCTCAAAAATAAATTTTTCTTTAATTAGCTGGATATGGTGGCCCATGCCTGTAGTCCCAGCTACATGGGAGGCTGAGATAGGAGAATCGCTTGAACCCAGGAATTTGAGGCTGCAGTAAACCAAGATCACACCGCTATGCTCCTGCCTGGGCAACATAGCAAGACTCAGTCTCAGAAAAATTTTTGTTGCCAGCGCAATGGCTCATGCCTGTAATCCCAGCACTTTGAGAGGCCAAGGCAGGTGGATCGTAAGGTTAGGAGTTTGAGACCAGCCTAGCCAATATGGCAAAACCCCGTCTCTACCAAAAACACAAAAATTGGCCGGGAATGGTGGCAGGTACCTGTAATCCCAGCTACTTGGGAGGCTGACGCAGGAGAATCCCTTGAACTTGGGAAGCGGAGGTTGCAGTGAGCCGAGATCATGCCATTGCACTCCAGCCTGGGTGACAAGAAGACTCTGTCTCAAAAAAACAAAAAAAAATTTTTTTAGTCAAAACTTACATATTCGGGCCAGGCGCAGTGGCTCAAGCCTGTAATCCCAGCATTTTGGGAGGCCGAGGCGGGTGGATCACTAGGTCAAGAGATCGAGATCATCCTGGTCAACATAGTGAAACCCCGTCTCTACTAAAAATACAAAAAATTAGCTGGGCATGGTGGCGCGTGCCTGTAGTCCCAGCTACTTGGGAGGCTGAGGCAGGAGAATTGTTTGAACTCAGGAAGTGGAGGTTGCGGTGAGCCGAGATCGTGGCATGCCTGGGTACATTACTCCAGCCTGGGTAACAAGAGCGAAACTCCGTCTCAAAAAAAAAAAAAAAAAAAACTTACATATTCAAACGCACACACTACATGGCACCATTTGTAGTTAAGAGAAATGTAAAGGTGCAGTATAAATATAGCTGCAGCCTGAAAGATGAGACGGAATGACTGCAGGTCCTGAAGCACAGGCTGCAGCAAGTCAGCAGCTACAGCCGCCTCCAAGCTAGTTACGAATTTTTTTCAGCTCAAATGATGTGAGTGAGGGTTGGCACATTAGTGGGGGAAAGAATATGGAAACAAATACTATGAAAACAACACACAATTTTTGGCTATCACTGATGGATCATATATACCGTAATGAATGAGAAAAACACATTCCAGATGTGACTGGAAACGTGGTGCCTCCCAAAGGGCATCCTTTGCTTCACTGTCAGACTGATGATCCTCCAACAACAAAACCGTCTCCTGCTCACGGATTCTTCGGACAAACCAGAAGTCCAGCATGAGTGGCACTAGAACAATATGTGCCATTTTCTTTTCTTTTTTTTTGAGATGGAGTCTCACTCTGTCACCCAGGCTGGAGTGCAGTGGTGGGATCTCTGCTCACAGCAACCTCCACCTCCCGTGTTCAAATGATTCTCCTGCCTCAGCCTCCCGAGATGCGTGCCACCATACCTGGCTAATTTTTGTATTTTTAGTAAAGATGGGTTTTTGCTATGTTGGCCAGGCTGGTCTCGAACTCCTGACCTCAGGTGATCCACCTGCTTCGGCCTCCCAAAGTGCTGGGATTACAGGCGTGAGCCACCATGCCCAGCCAATATGTACCATTTTCTACCATTAGAAAGAAGATTCAGGAACAGGTCCCATCTTGAAAACTTGACAAGCAAAGAATGAAAAACAGTTTAAACATGCAAAGTACAGGGCTTTTCATGGCATTGCACTTTGCTTACCATTAACTGGATTAAAATTGCTTAACAAAAAATTTATAACTGCATACAATTGACTGTAGTATATACTGTACTGCTCTACTGATTTCACAGCCATCTCCTGTAGTTACTGCAGTGAGCTCAAGAGTTTCAAGGATCCGCTTAAAGCTCCATGCTTCTCATCAGCTCCAAGGGAGCACTTTGTCCTTCCAGTAAACAGGGATCTCTCGGCTGGGCGCAGTAGCTCACACTTGTAATCCCAGCACTTGGAGCAGATCACTTGAAGTCAGAAGTTGAAGACCAGCCTGGCCAACATGGTGAAACCTCATTTCTACTAAAAATACAAAAACCTAGCTGGACATGGTTGCACACACCTATTATCCCAGCTACTTCAGAGGCTGAGGCAGGAGAATCACTTGAACCCGGGAAGTGCGGCTTGCAGTGAGCCAAGATCGCGCCACTGCACTCCAGCCTGGGCAACACAGTGAGACTCCACCTCAAAAAAAAAAAAAAAAAGATTAGCTGGGCCTAGAAGCCCACACCTGTAATCCCAGCTACTCAGGAAGCTGAGGCAAAAGAATCATTTGAACCTGGCAGGCAGAGAGGTTGCTGCGAGCTGAGATCTCGCCATTGCACTGCAGCCTGGATGACAAAACAAGAGTTCATTTCAAAAAAAAAAAAGGGGATCTCTCTCAGTTATGTTATTTTTTTTCATCATGTTTTGTGCAGTACTATAAATCTTGAATAACACCACGGGACCCATACAAAGTGTCATTAGTTATGCTGGAAGTGCTCCCAAGAAGCAGAGAAAAGTCATGACAGTAAAAAAAAAAATGTTTAAGTTGCTTGATATGTATTTTAGATTGAGGTCTGCAGCTGCGGGTGCCACCCTTTCACACAGACGATTCATCTTGTAAATGGATGACATAAACTTATGGCATCGATATAATACAGTACAATAAATGTGGTTTATGATTTTCTTAACATTTTCTCTTCGCTAGCTTACTTTATTGTAAGAACACAGTGTAACTGTAATAGCACACTAAACATACAAAATAGGGTTCATGGACTGTTTATGTTATCTGTAAGGCTTTCTATCAACAGTAGGCTATTGGTAGTTAGGTTTTAGAGGGGGCAAAAGTTGTAGTGGACTTTCGGCTGTGCAGGGTTCAGTGCCCCAACCTCCACAGTGTTTAAGGCTCAGCTGTACTCTGTGATGGCCCTAATACCTGTCAGCCAAATATGTTTTGCAGGAGGGCTGGGTTCGGTGGCTCATGCCTGTAATCCCAGCACTTTGAGAGGCCAAGATGGGTGGATCATTTGAGGTCAGGAGTTCCAGAGCAGCCTGGCCAACACAGGGAAACCCTGTCTCTACTAAAAACACAAAAATAGCTGGGCATGGTGGTGTGCACCTGTAGTCCCAGCTTCTCGGGAGACTGAGGCATGAGAATTGGTTGAACCCAGGAGGCGGAGGTTGCAGTGAGCCGAGATCCCACCACTGCACTCCAGCCTGGTTGACAGAGCAAGACTCCATCTCAAAAAGAAAAAAAAAAAACAAAAAAACAAACTCAAGTATTCATTGAAGCTTTGTTGGTAATTGCAAAACACTGGAACAACTCTAAAGGCCCATACAGCAGAATCACTGAATAAATTATGATGCATTCCCCCCAGTGAGGTACTCCACTGCCACAAGGAAGAATGAGGAAGATCTCTATGAACTGCTATGGTGTGACATCCAAGATATCCTGTTGGGCAAAGAAAACAAAATGCAAAATAATGTCTCTAGTATGCTATTAATTCCTTTTGTGTAAGAAAGAAGAGGAAATAAGAA